ACAGGGTCGCTATGAGGCAGAACTGACTTGATGACATGTAACAACAATTCCTCTTTTGCACAGTAGGAAATTGAGGCACAGGGACCTTAAGTCAGTGTTTGCAGTGTTCCGTTCTCCTGTTCATTGTTGTGCCGCCTCACACAGTGTCTTCCCGTTGTAGGTACCCAGATAAGGTAGCTTTTGAACTGAATCAGAACACGGACTAGTAGGAAGCTGTGTTCCACTGGACGGTGGGTTTTGAAAACAGAAACTAAAGTCACTGAAGTAAAATTCATGATGCCACTATTGGGCTTTTTGAGGGAACAAGCCTTTGTAAGCCTGTTTATTTTTATGACTTAGTATTTTTCCTTTTGTGGCGCTGTGGGTTAATGCACTGGACTGCAAAGTTGGTTTGAACTACAAGGTTTGCGGTTCATGCTCACCAGCCACCCCTTAGAAACCCTATAAAGAGTTGCTATGGGTTGGAACTGACTCGACAGTACTAACAAATACAATAACAAGTGTAACTCCTAAAATGGCATTATTTTCTGAAGTTGGTAACTGGTGATAGCCAGTTTTTCTTATAGAAGTCAAAGAGTTCCTCAAATGTTTCCTTATAAAAATAGGACATTTTATTTAGTGATGTACATTTAAAAATTAATATGAGCTGACTTTATTGATCTTCTGTTTTCAAGTATGGTAATATTTAGGTTAATTTAGACTTCCTACAACATCTGTTGTGCACTAGTAGATTATTTCTTTGTCTTCGTTGAATTGTGTGTTACATTTTACTTTACCCTCCTTTTATGCAGTGAAGAAGTGAAGTTAAAGAATAGCCTCATGTAGAAAGTCCAGAGGGAAAACACTTTATTTCAGAAATAGACAGTACTTTGTCACTGGAACCTTCCACCACCACCACCACCCCACCCCACCCCACTCCCCCTTCCTGTGAGTTGCGGACCCTTGATGATGTTAGTACTCTTTGACAAAGACAGTGTAGTGGACCAGATGATCAGCTTCAGAGAAAGCACGTGGTAGATGGGGGAAATGACACTTGATGCTGGTGAAAGGCAGCTTTAGGTTTTTATGGCTTCAGCCAGCCGAGCACTCTGCATCCTCTTACTGTGGGTAATTGAGAGGTAGCTGATTATTCTGGTCACTGTGGAAAAGACAGGTCAAGAGGTGTGGGCTTTCCTTGAAGTAAAAGCCTGGGAATAAAAATGTTATATGTTTATAACCAAGTTCAAGAAAGGTTGACATTCTAAGTCAGTAGTCGCTATTTGGGGAAGAGAATGCAATCACCTTTGTAAAGTTGTGAATTATGAAAGACATTTCTGTTGGGTTGCTGAATATCCCTTGGGTTTGCTTCATTTATAACGTTGCCTCTGGCCTTCTACAGCATCCTGTTGGAATGACCTCCTTTTCAACCCTGTGCTGGCAGCTGCTCTAGGGCTGTTTCCTCTGGATCCTTCAGGCTTGTCACATGACGAATATGAACTGTGACCCCTTTGTCCCTTACCCAGATGATTGGCTTTCTTTATTTTTTCTGCTTAACAGTTTTGCAGTATTTTCCTTCTTCTTTTTCCCTGTTTCCTCCCTTTCTTTTAGTTTCCTAACCAGACAAGATTTCTTTGTAGCAATTTAATATTTTATTGTAGTATAACACTGAAGCAGAAAAGTACACAAATCCATAAGCTACAGAATCTTTAGAGCATGAGCATACTAATGTAGACAGTGCTAAGATCAAGAGACAGCGTCACCAAAGCCTCAGAAAATCTCTCCCATCTCCTTTTAGTTACCGCTCCTCTCCCTGAAGAGACACCGTGATATGACTTTGCACAGCTCTGCTGGTTTTGAACATGATAAGAATGGAATCATGCAGCATGTCCTTCTTGTGTCAGGGCCCGTTCATCTGACTCTACACGTGTGCTGGTCATCCACATAGTTCCGTTTGTTTTTGCTGTTTAGGGTTCCACTGTATGACTGTAACACCATTTGTTTTACTCCTTTAACAAAAAAAAAAAAAAAAAAAAAAAGTTTTTATTGTGATTTGAGTGAAAGTTTACCGAGTAAATTAACTTTTCATTTAACCATTCATGGTGCTATAGGATAAGTACTAGACCACAAGGTCAGTTTGAATCACAAGGTCGGTGGCTCAAACTCACCAGTCACTCCTTGGACACTCTATACAGGTTTGCTGTGAGTCAGAACTGAGTCGATGGCACTTAACAACAACACATTTTGTGTCATGACATTGACTCCGATTCCCACAATGTAACAGCATTCTTCCCACTTTCTCCTTGTGTTTCATCCGTCTTTCCTATCCCTTCATGCCTGCCAAAAGCTGCCTTTTGAATGTCCTGTGGTTTAATATTTCTAAGAAGTACATGCCTCCATCTTATACTGTTGTTATTGTTAAGTGTGGGTTCTGACTCATAGCGACCCTGTATAGGCTTTCGAAGGAGCAGCTGATGGCTTTGAACTACCAACCTTGAAGTTAGCAATACAATGCTTATCCTACAGCACCTCCTCTTCTATTGTTTTGCTGAAAGTTGAGCTATGGGAGTGAATTCAATGCCAGACTTGTAGGGTTCCTAAAGGCCACAGCCTCGGGGGTTCTACCAGTTCCCGTCTGACCAATAAGCCTGGTCATTGTTTGGGGTGGTTTTTTTTAATGATTTTGAGTTTCATTCCAATTTTTCTCCCATTCTGTTCAAGACTTTCTATTGTGATCCTTTTCCAAGTAGTTGGTAACAGTAGTCAGGTACCACCTAGCTATTCTGGGCTCAGGATCCAGGAGCCTGGGCCTGGTGTGGTCTCTTAGTCCTTTGGACTGTTTGTTTCTACTCTTGATGGGCATCTGGATTGTCTCTGATTAATGCTGTTATGGATGGTAGTACTGTAACAGTCTTTTGTCTTTTGTTGAGCATATGAAATATTTCTAGATACTTAAGTAGCAGTGGAACTGTAGAAACATAGTGTATCTACCTAGCCACTTAATTTAAAACGTCATGTAAGGCACTAAACAATTTATTGTAGGTAAACTCTTAGTAGGAAACATTTGTAAGCACATAGAAATCTAGCTCTAGCATAATGTATCTAATTTGTGTCTAAGGAAAGTGCCTCTAGTTAAATGATGTAAATAGTTGTAGACAAATAACTCCTGTAAACAACAAAATGGCTGTTCACTTCCAGGGACAAGTTCTAATCACTTTCTTCCTACTATCTTTTATCCAGCTTTCCAGAGCGGAGTTAGTAGACCCATTCTGTAAAATCTCATGGACCTATTTTGATGGTAATAATTTGTAGAAGTTAAGATGCTCCCCTCTGAGTGGTACTGCTAGCAGAGAAGACTGACAATGGGGAAACTGACTTCCAGGCTTAGCTCAGATTACAGAGCTGAGCACTTGTATTTATGCAAATTGCATTCACTACCAAGAACCCTGCAGAAGTGATGAGATACTCCTGGTTCTATATTGTTGATAGTTTTCAGGAAAAGTAGTCAGGTATTTATATAGCCACAAATAATCTTTTTTTTTTTTTTTTTTTGTCCCTCTCTCTTCTAAAATGTGAACTTTTCTAAATCTGCTTCATAGATATGTCCGAATAAGTTTAACATAGTCTGAGTACTAAAGTATGTTTGCAGTATCTTATCTCTCAAAAACTGGATAGTAGCTTTTAAAGACATTTTGTTTGACCATTAGATAGATAAAGTACCCACATTTACTCTGTGAACATACCATACAATTAGTTGCACTGTGTGTTTGACCATGGTGTTTTGGAGACCATTTTGTAAGCTTGGGGAATAGAGAAAGGACAGCTGCTTCTCCTTTTGAGATTTCTTGAAATAAAGTATGGTAAAAAAGAGAATACAAGATTCCATTTTCATAAAATTATCCTTTGAAAGTTCTGTTTTTTATTTCTCCCAGCTTTATTTCATATTCTTAGCAGTAATTTGTAGACATATATTGACACTTAAAAACTGTCTTAACGGAGGACTATTGGATTTCTTTCATTTTGTATGTCATTTAGAACTCATACTTGTGGTTCCATTTTAAACCAAAACATTTAGTTCAACAAATATTGATAATCAGGGTTATATTATACGTATCGTCCTAAGCTCTACAGATAATCCCTGTTCTCAGAAAGCTTATGAGTATGTGGCAGTAGCAAGGGAGGGGAGCATATACAGATTACTATAACATAGTGTTAGGTAAGTGTCGTAATGAGAATTCCATGGGTGGCTGAGCAGGTAGCATTAGAAGTAGAATTTGAAGGATGAGTAGATTGGCCTAGGATGACCTCTTTGCTGATTTCTGCCTGTTGGCAGAGGAACAGCATGGCTAGGATTAAGATGCTTTGTGAAATTTAAGACTGGAGTAAAGCCCAAGTGCTGAGTTTATATCAGGTCACTGGGTGGTAATACAACAGGTGATTGAGGGGCCTCATTTTAGACCACATTAAAGCTCTAGATCACTATTGCTGAAGAAATAATGTGGGCAAAGTGCTTAACATAGATCTCAACACATAGCAAATTCTCAACTAGGTACTATGGCCAATGAGGAACCATTCAGGACTTTTGAACCATAAGGTGGTCGAATCTTAACCATGCAAGTCTTGGTCTTTTTATAATTGATGTATAAAAGGCTGCAGCTATTTTAAATGTACAATTTGATAGGTTTTTACATATGTATATACCCATGAATTCATCATCACAATCAAAATAATGAACCTATTTTGTACAAGATTTTAGACAAGCAAAGTCTGGTCTGCAATATGCAGGAGAGATTTGGGGAAATAGAGCTCAGAGTGGAGGAATCAGTAGAGAGGCTGTTCCCAGGGCCCAGGTGATAGAGAACGAGTGAGGCTGAGTACCAAGTGCCTCCTCTGACAGACGGGGCAGCTGGAGGACGGGGTGGGGTCTTCATCTTCTGTCATTTCCCGAACCTAACCCAGTACCAGAGGTATCGACTTTATAAAAAAGGCCCATTTCAAGCTGTTTTTTCCTTTATTTTGTTTAGGGTTTTAAAGACACCCTTCTTACTTCTGGGACATCCAGTGTGACAGCCACCAAGCAGTTGCTTCGCCCAAGAATCACAAGAGTCTGCCTCAGGGACTTGATATTCTGTCTGGAGCAGGAAAGAGAGATGAAGTATTCTCGAGCTCTGTACCTGGCCCTTCTGAAGTGACCACTCCGCTGTCCTTGCAGATCCATGCTATTTACTGCCAAAGAAGAGATAAAGAACATTGTTGCACTGTCCTGAAATGTCAGTTTATGAAAAATAATCAGCAATATGGAAAGCATTGTTTGCAGTCATACACTTTTATTAAATCATATGTAAACATCCCATGGGATTCTTAATGACCAGAATTCTTTTCTGTCTTGTGAAAATTTTATACGAAACACAGTTTACCTAGAAGTAGTTCGATGCCTACCTATGCATTTAACTACAGCAAGTTAAGGTCCTGTTACTACCTGTTTTGTTAATAGTTAGGTACCTTTCCCTAATCTAGCAATGGGATGCAGGGAAAAGAAAGGAAGCGTCATCTTCCTTAATTAAGAAAAGTGTGTTTAATTCTATACAGATCCTGTCTCTACATTAGATACGTTGTCTGAGTTGGAATTAAAAGTTGCTTAGCTAACCATGATGGTTGCTTCTGTAGTTGAAGATAGCAAGCAACAAAGCAGGGCCCAAGATGACTTTGGCTGAATTCTGGTGTTGTCAAAACCAAGACAAATTGAGATCGTTTGTGCCTAAGGTTACTATTCTGTGGTTCCTGTCACCATATGCTGCTCTCAGTACCACATGAGGAGACATCCTTGTCAGGGAACCTTAAAATTGAAGCTGTTGAAATACCGTGATGAAAAATGGAGTAGGGGGAGGTATTGGAAGGAATGGTGGAGCATTGAGTTCAAACTGATACGGGGAAATGAAAACGAAGTCTTAACACAAAAAGGTACTGTGAATGCCTAGGAGGAACAGGCATGGGATTGAAACTCCAAAACAGCTAATAGGGGTTTTGTTGAAGGAAAAAAAAAAAAAAAATCACCACTTGACTAAAAAGAAAAGTGTATCAAACACTTTCAAGTGACAGTCTTTTAAAAGGAAGAAATTATTTTTTAGTTTGTATTGCTTTAAATCCCAAGGATAGTTTTTGTAAGTTAGTTTTTATTGTTCTTTTTCTCATAAAATTTTAGTTACTTTAAGTTTTAAACATCTTGGTACATTTATAAAAGATCCAAATAGATGATTACAAATTTTTGACGTTAGGATTCTATACTTAAAAGGTAATGTCAGCATTTCACTTTTAGGGATCTTGGCAATAAATATACTATAAGAAACAGGTTGTATATATTCATCTGAAGAGGAAGCTGATATTTTGCTTTTAAATTCCACTTGTGTGGAATGTGCCTGGTAAAAATAATAACTGTAGTTAGGATCATGTCCATAAAGAATGAGTAAATCTTCCAAAAAGGTTTTAAAAATGGGAAAGCTATACTTGCTAGAAAAAAGAATTCAAGGGGGTAAAAAGGCTGAAGTATGTCCTTGTTCATCCTGTTCTTCCTGTTGGGGTCATTAGGGCCATATTCTATACTACAGTAAGTTTTACATTAGCTACTGTTTTTGTTTCAGCAAATTATTACATACAATGCTATAAATTATGTATATGTTACAGAGTATTTTGAAAAGAGATATATATCCAAAGTTGGTTTTGTATATTTAAATGCTTAGCTTTATTTTTTTGTAAAATGCAACATATTCCCATACTTGTGTATAATCTTATTGATCAGATGTTAAAAATTATTTCAAATACTTCATTAAACTTATTTTATTATAAGAATTACTTTGCTGAGTCGTTAACCTTGAATGCCAGTGTCATTTTACCTTGAAGTGTGCCAATGCTTGCAGTGGATCCCCTCAGCTCTGCTTTACTTTGGAGGGTTGGATTTTAGATCCTCACTGTAGATCCAAGTGTGTTGTATCACTTTCTGTGGAATAGTTGTAAGTTTGCATACTATTGAACTCACTAAGAAAGCTAAGTACATTCATTATAAATGTGTCCTTTGCACAAGATAATTTGGGTATTGGGTTGTTGTTGTTGTTAAGTGCCTTCGAGTCGGTTCCGACCCATAGCGACCCTGTACAGGGTTTCCGAGGGTGTAAATCCTTACGGGAGTAGAAAGCCTCATCTTTCTCCCGCGGAGCAGCTGGTAGTTTCGAACTGCTGACCTTATGGTTCGCAGCCCGATTCGTAACCACTACGCTACCAGAGGGGGCAATATACAAGTAGGGAGAGGGGAATCGAAGAACAAAGCAGATGGGAGAACAATTAGACAGGTATGAATGGGCTAAATGGGACAGAGGTAAAAATGATGTAGGCACAGCTTTGGAACAACAGGGCTCTGGAATACAGAGAGTGAGACATGGATGGAATGGGGAAAAGAGGGGAATAATGTTAAGATGCTTGGCTGTCTTTTGAATCATGGTTTTCCTTGCAATATATTATAAAACAGACACTGGAGGGAGAGAGAAAGGAATAACCAGAAATATCAACATGGAAAGCTTATAAGCCCGTCTTCTGCCTATAACTGATTGGAATACCTAAAATGGGGCTACAGTGTGTCCAGTGAAGGAGGTTTACTGAGGAGCCTCTGCACTACATGGGAGTATAGGTGGAAGCCAGAACCACATCCAGACCTTCAGAGATGGGAAATTTTCCACTTGAAAAGACAAGCATACCAGCCGGGAGGAGCTAGAAAACCAGAAGATACTTCCTGAAAGAAGGACTTACAGGAAACATACAAAACAATAAGGGCAGTCCAAATGTTACCACAAGAACATACAGGTTGCTTGCCCAGGAGACATCAAGGCAAGTGGTCGTATCCTCTCAGTGCAAATTCTCTTCCAAGACTAAGACGCAAGGGAAATATACGCTTTGATTGACAACCACGCATGTCACCCATAAGGGGAAGTGACTGAAGAACATCAATGAAGTGGCGAGCTAAGCCCTAAGAGCTAAGTCCTACATCGTTCAGCAAACTACTGTGAACCCGGGTTGAGACCTGGTTGGCCAGTAGCAAGGCAACACCTGGGGACTCATGGGCTCAGAGTCAATGACGCAGCCACAGAGGTCTAGAGTGGAGAGCAGGGCGGCCAGTAGATAAAAAGAGGCCGGACAGATGCAAGAACACCCGCACTTGGAGATGATACCCACTTGACCTGGCTTCAATAACTGGATAAACAGAGCTCAACCCAAAGAAGAAAGAAGAGGAAAAAAGCGTCATCTGATAACAATTCGATAAACAGGACCTACACCTATAAATGCAGTAGCTCAAAAGAGGAAACAAATCCCTGCTGCAAGAACTATTCCCACCCCCTCCACACAAAGGATAGACAGAGATGGGCAACTTGGACATTGGCTACCCAAAATGGGGGGAGGGATACAAAGTTAAGAAGTGACTGGTTTACAAGCTTTCAAGAGGGAACCTAGATCCAAAGGGCGTGGAGGAAGGTAGAGTCTCCGGTGAATTGTATCCAACCTTTCCAGGAAGGGCTGATGAAATGAAATACAGATGGGTCTCTTGTGATGCAATAGTGAATAATTGTTATCAGGACTGATTGTTGTGAGCGTTGGAAATCTAAAGGTGGACATTTTGTAGCAAGGAGGGGAGTGATTAACTTTTCAGTCTAGGAGTGGAGGACCCTAGGACCATCAATGGAGAAAAGCGGAGAGTGGGATCCTACCCAGAGAAGCAGTGAGGCCTGAGATGGAGGCAGAGAAGACGACATCAAGAGATGGTGTGGCTGAGGACTTGGGATCAGGAGATGGAAAGGGGCTGAGGACTGTGTGGGGAGGGGGGGTGCAGGCTTACAGGGTACACCCTTTGGTTGGGTGAGGATGCATGGACAGGATGGTAACTATACCAATGAAATGATAGATGATGGAATGAATGTGAAGCTAATGTTCTCCCATGTAGACTATCACACAATGCACAATAAAACATTAAAAAAAAAATTCCCTTTGCCCTTTAGAATTTTCTTACTAAAGTATTCTTTTTCGAAATTTACCTTTAATATATATGTTAAGCCTTTGTGTTGTGAAATACATCTTACGTTCAAAAGAACAAATGCAGTGTATCCATGATATTCTTTCTCCCCATTTGTAAAATAGTGACCTTGTAGATTTCTTCTACCTTTAGATGGATCTACTCACGCAGTATTGCCAAGGTTTTAGATTTAATTCACAAAAATCTGTATTTCTACATCTTTTTAACAGTTTTGTTTGGAATTATTAGGCATGCCCTTTTGTGTGGCATTAATCCACAGTGACTTCACTGTAATATGGGGGATGTGTTTATTTTTCTGATTCCGTTTAGCATTGAGTTTGTGATTCTCTATGGAGTCCTGGTGTGGCGCTGTGGGTTAATGCGTCAGACTGCAAAGCCGTTTGAACCTCAAGGTTGGTGGTTCAAGCTCACCAGCTGCTCCTTGGAAACCCTATACAGGGTCGCTGTGGGTCGGAATCGACTTGACAGCACTTAACAACAACAACAACAACATCTTGAGTGATGAACCAAGAAAATAAAAGGATCTAGTATCAGAAAGTCTCCCATTTATTGTTTCAAAATAACTTTGTTGACATATTTCGTATCCCATAAAACTCACCTGTTTTATCCATTGACTATTAAAAGTAACTGGCATCTAGTCTCCTGAACACCTTTGACTCTTTCTTCTTCCCTTAAAAAAGAAAAGAAAGTTAACGTTTTAAAGCCTCCACTTAAAACCTGCATTTGAGGTAAATTTTGTTTTATTAGAATTTTGGCAAAACTTTTTATAGATTTAAGACTATGCTAGTTAAATCACAGATGCGGCAAATAGTATGCAAGCCATGTTATGGTATTGTCATACTGATCAAGTTGGACTTTATCTTTTTGCCTAATTTTTACAGTGAACCAACTCAGTGTTTATGAAACTGAACTGGACGAGACTCAGCGATTATAGGAGATAAAAGTATAATGTTGCACGTGTTTATACATGACCTGGTGGCCAATCTTAGTTTCTAGCCTTGCCATCATTTTAAACAGCTTCACATGCCTCTGAATTGACGCAACCTTTTTTTTTTCTTCTCCGTAAACATGTGGACATGATTCACATCTGGCAGCAACATCTTTTTTTAGTGTCTTTTAAAAAAATCTCTTGATTAGTACTTTCATATGTATTTCAGTTTTATTATATTTGTATGTTTGCCTTTTCATAGAGGTTATTTCACTAATTGGAAATTGGATCTTGGGAGATTATTTTTACCATATTTTTCTCTTGGGAAACATGAGAAATTATATTATTACAAGTTGGAAACCTAAATCTTCACCACCATACTTGAATATTGACTGATTAGGTAAGAACTACAGATACGTAACAGTAATAGGATTCAAATTTGTTTAGATCTTCTCACATTGAATA